GGCGGGCGGAGAGTCCGCGCGAAGCCTCGGGGACGCGCGGGCGCGCTGTCCTGCGGCCCAGGCCGCGGGTGAGTGAGCGGCTGCGCCGCGGCGGCGGGCGCGGGCAAATGCTTAGTCGCGGTTTCGGAACGAACACTGCACTTCAGTGGGAAGTTTCTGTGGTTCGGTAACGAGACTTCATGTGTTCGGAGCAGGATATTTACCAGAGCTCCAGTGGGTGGGTCGCACGTGGTCGCACACCTTTTCTCTTCCCCATAAACTTCAAAAAGTCAGCCTGGCTCCCTTCTGCCGCGGCGCCTATGCTCGGACTCTGGGGCTTGGATGCCATGATGGATTGGGGTGGTTCTCAAGTTTGCCAGCCACAATCAATTCTTCAATATCCCTTGACTGTTTCCTCCCTTTGAACACAGACCTCCTTCCCCTAGTCTGAACATTTCTGAAATCAAGATTTCCCAGCTGTTGAGCAGCAGCAAATGTGTTGAGTCGGCTTGCTCACGCTAAAATGCAGTTCTTTGATTTTTCTATCAGATGAGACTTATGAAATGAAATTTAAATTCAGATTTCTAATTATTTCTTTAAAACAACTGAAAGATAATCCTGTGATATTACATTTAAAAACGACAGCACAGTGCTTCTCGCCTGTAATATCCACTCTCTGGGAAGCTGAAGCTGGAGGGTCGAAAGTTTGAGCTCGCCTATGAAATTTAGTGAGACCCTGTCTTCAAAATAATAATAATAAAATAATAAAAACGGAGATGTAGCTCAGTGCAAAGGCTCTGGGTTCAATCTCCAAGTACCATCAAAAATACATAGAAGAAAAAGATTATGATAACGTTAACTAAGCTTGCTCTATCTTTAGCATTGTCTCAGTCAACATTACAACCCTGTAAAGTGCAGTTACTATCTCCATTTCATAGATGAGGAAACAAGCTCAGGGAGGTGGAATGCCTCGTAGTTTTAATGCACAAATGTCAGGGCTCCAACCACCTGATTTCAAGCCTGCCTTCTTAACTCTCAAGTCTGTATCCAGGCAGACAATGCACATTGCTTACACGGTGGGAAGATAAGGCAGAGCTTACACTTGTTTGTACATCTTGGGTGTTTATGTATCTTTGTGTCCATATATATTTGATTGGTATTTAACCTGTAGCCAAGTGAACCAATTATATGACATATAATCAAAATGTACAGTGAATATATTTTAACTTCATTACAGTAAAAGATACATTGTCATTAATCTCCTTCAAAATACTCGTCTTCACTTCAGACACATGCATCTCATCATTCTTCCGTTTTCTGAAGCAGTGATAGAAGTCTTCTTTTGAGGGTTTTCTTTTTATAAGGTGTAATAAGAAAATAGTGAATGCTACTGCTAAGTGCCAGTCAACAGAAAGGCAGGTGTATACAAACATTAGTGTGCTTCCTCATCCACCTTCCTCACTGTTGTGGCATGTACATCTTCTGGCTCTTCTCCCAAAGTCACAACTATCAGGAAAGGTAAACTTTTGAATTGATTCAAGACATCAAGGCAGCCATGATAGCACAAATAAAAGATACTCGTGAAAGAAGATTGTTTCAGAAGGTACTGAGAGTGACAGAATAAGTGAAGGAAGGGGGAGTATGGTGACAGGGACTAGTGGCAAAGTCTTGTTATAAACTTTTAAACGTTAAACGTTAAACTATATTTTAAAATCATACATTGTATTCCTGGATCAATGCTACACCTTTGTTTTTATATCTTTTGCAGGTTCTGGAGTTGTGGACACATGACAAGAACTGGGTTACTCTGTTCCTGCCTTTTGCGCCTCTGGAAGAGTGTAGAGGCATGCACTTAAACTGGCCCACCTCCCAAAGAAACAGCCTGAGTTTTTCATACCAAATTCTAGGAGCCCCCAGGTCCTTGTGCTTCAGGGACATGCCAAGTTCCTAAAGGCAGGTAATTGTGATCTGAGAGGGACCACCCAACTGTGAAGAAGTTGCAACAATTTCCTTACCAGAAGTGGACAGTCGCAGTCAGGCCGGCATGCCACAGCAGCTCATGATCACCCTGCCCACTGAGACCAGCGCCTGGGTGAAGTTGCACCATCCAAGAAAGGCTGAGGAGGGGGCACCCCTGTGGGAGGATGTGACTAAAATATTTGAAGGAGAAGGTGAGAATAGACTGATGGAGGGGAGAAGAAAGAGGTCTCAGTGTGGAAAGAGCTTTCATGCTGGTAGTGTCTTTTGGATAGAAATTGGGGAAAGGTCTTTGGAGGATGTTACCTTCTTGTCACTATTAACAGAATACCTGATGTAAACAGTTTAAGGCAGGAAAGAGTTGTTTTTGGTTCCTATTTTCAAAGTTTCCAGTCCATGGTCAGTTGGCTCCACTGCTTTGGAGGTTATGATAAGGCAGAACCATCATGGCAGAAGGTTATGGCAGATGCAAACTGCTTACCTCATGTAGTCAAGAATCAGAGAGAGGGAAAGCCAGTGAGGAAGGTGCAGGGAAACAGATGTAGTTCCCAAGGCCACGACCACATGACCTCCCTTCTACTGAGCCTCGCCTCCTGCTCCTATCACCTTGCAATAATACCTTCAAATTATGATCTCAGCAATGGATGAATCCACCTGATGAAGTTTAGAGTCCTCATGAGCTAGTCACTTCCCAAAACGCCTGTCAGCTGGTAATCAAGCACATGGGTTTTGGAAAACTTTTCAAATTTAAACCATAACAAGAATTATATTTGTGGCTTTTAGAAAGGGGAAGCTGTGAAAGAAAATATTGGCCTCATGTCCAGGATCACACTTTATTTAACGATCTGGTGAAGAGCAGATAGATAGACAAGAGAATTCATGTCTCATGTATCTTTTTTTGGTGGAATTGTCATGTGGTATCTTTAATGCTTGGTATTCAACCAGTACTTTTGTTGTGTTCTAGCATTATCAGGCAGAGACTTTGGTCAAGTTTTTTTACAGATCGAAAATGAATAATATTTTCTAATGCTAATTATTAATTAATCCATATAGTCAGATTAAAATAATGGAAGGCAATCTTTAAAAATCAGTTTTGGGATACAGGAGACAGAAAACTTTCTTATGATTGCATATATCTGAGAGATTTTCGCAAGGCAGATAACACAATTAGACTTGGAAGGGCTCTTTTAGGTTTTTTAAACAGATTTAGAGAAAGGACAGAAAAATAAAAACGACCCCAGAGAATGGGGACTATTTAGTCTAAGTGAGGGTTAGGAGTATGGTATGGGTGGTGTACCATGTATAAAGGATAGAGGTTTGGGAACTTTGGAGGTTCTAGCATGGGAGAGTGCTGCTACATATATACCCTTGACCTAGGAAATAGTCCTCCTCGATCAGAGAAGGTTGTCCTTTTTGACTGAGCATGCAGCTTCCAGAGGGACACACATGGAATGGTGAGGGAGGAAGAAGGCACTTGTATAGCCAGTCAGATCAGCCAAATGAATCCTGGTGATCAGTGGGTGACAGATGTCACAGCCATATCACCCTTACATCTGAGGATGGTAGTTTGGAGATAACCATTACTGAGAAACTACACTCCAGGCAGCTTATAGAATACCTTGAAGTCCATGATGAAGTTTTTGGATCATTCTTACCCATGGAGAGCTTCTGAAGACTTTTGAACAAATGGGTAGCTTAATAGATCTGGACCCACATTGACTATTGGGAAATATTAATGCTCAAAGCAACACACTGCAGGTTATCCTCACTGAGGGGAGTGTCAGGCTGCTTGTAAGTCATCCTAAAATCCTTTGTTAGTGTTTTCGGCAAGAAGCCCTGTCCATTGCATTTTGTGTTTGAGGAATTTGAGGAGATGCAAATCTCATGGTTCTTTTTCTTTCTTAGCTCTGCTATCTCAGGGTTCTGATGAGACCCAGGGAGAAGGTTTAGCAGATGAAGTGATTCCTGGACTCTTGACAACAGAATCCGAGGTAGGCAGGGGTTTTCTATGTTTTTCTTGATATTGCTTCTGGCTTTTATGGATATAATCTTGTCGCCTGGGGGAAGTAGAGGTGAATGAAGACTAACAAAAACAACTAAAAGAGCTCAGTGCAAGTCACTCCCCAGAAATCTGGGCTTCTGTGGTGACAGTTTCCCTGTTCATAGTAGCCTCTCTCCCTCCCTATAACTCTTATTTCTCTAGATCAGCTGCATCTAGATCTAATATTGTATTAATTTTGATAGAAAAAGCAAAGTGAGTGATATGCCAATCCCTAAAAAACTAACAGATACCATTTTTAGATTTAATATAAACAGTCAAATCTCAAAATCAAAATCTGTAAATAAAGCCAGACATGGTAACAAATGCCTGTAATCCCAGCCCTCTGGGCAGCTGAAGCAAGAACATTGTAAGTTTGAGCCCATCATGGGCCACTTAGTAATTTAGTGAGTCTCTGTCTGAAAATGAAAACCAAAGGAAGGGTTAGGGTATAGCTCTCTGCAAAGTCCCTAGGTTTCAATCTCCTGTACCAAAACAGACAAAGAACTACAAGTGAGAAGAAAGTTGCAACATTCTTAGTGATATATAGTGGAGGAAAAGAGGTACCCTTGTTATAGGTTTGAGAAGAAGCCAAAGTAAAAATGTATAGAACAGAAATGGTGAGGCTACACTGCATACCTCTTCAATAGTCAAAGCAAGAGCAGGAGAGGCCTGAGAGCAGTCAGGACTGAGAGCAACTGGCCTTCATTGTCTGGCAGACATGAGAAGGAAACAGAAGGAAATTACAGAGTAAGTGTGAAAGAAAGACCTTTTTAGAGATATATTATTATAGACAGAAGAGTTTTAGGTGAAAAGAACTTGAAATCTGAAATTAGTACATGTTTGATTTTATCTGAAATTAGATAGTACAGGATTTGATTTATCTTTGGTGATCTTGGGCAATATTTTTAGCTCTTTACAATCTTGGTTGTCTCAACTAAAAAGCTTAGATATTAATTTATGCCTTGTATTGGAAATAGTAGTCTACAGTTGTAGTCTAATTTAGAGTTATCTCTGTTCCACACATTCAGAGTGCCTTACTTCCAGACGTTTCACAGATACTAGATTCTTAGCCTTGGTAAAGGGTTACATTTTTAAGAACTGAAGCATAAGCCAGTGGTGGCACAAGCCTGTAATCCCAGGACTTGGGAGGCTGAGGCAGGAGGATCAATGTGAGTTTCAGACTAGCCTGGGCTTCAAAGTAAGCTCAAGGCCAGCCAGAATTGCATGGTGAGACCCTGTCTCAAAAAAAAAAAAAAAAAAAAAAAAGACAAACTGAGATATCAGTAATATACAGGAAATTGCACTTAAGAAAGTATATAATTCTATTTTGACATATGTTCCCATGTAACCCATCAGTAAATAAAAATATTCCAATTATCTGCAAATGTTCCCCCATCTCCCTTCTAAATCAATATGCCACCCACCCCCTAAAGTACATGAAGTCTCTATATTTCTTATACTCATTTATTTCTGTAAGTTTCTTAAGAGTTTAATTTTATATTTTATAATAATTAGGTATAGTGTTCTGTAAATGTCTATTAGTTAAATTCATTAATAGTGTTGTTCAAATCCCTGATATCCTTGATGCATTTTTGTCTACGGGTTGTATCACTTATTGAGAGAGGATGTTAAAACCTGTAATTATTGTGATTTTGATCTGTATATCCCTTTAGTTTTGTTTGCTTTATTTTGAAGTTCTGTCATCAGATATATGAACACTTAAAATTGTCTTCTCTAATTGACTTTATTATCATTAAGGAATGTCTCTCTGATCTATGACCACACCATCCTGAATATATCCAGTATCACCTTTAATGTCATTTTTAAACTAGTAATATGTTTTTCCCTGCAGTCCACTTTGTTGTATTTAAATTTGCTCCTCCAGTGTTCGATTATTATTTTCCTTTTCTTTTTTCATCTTTTTGAGATGGGTTTTTCTATATAGTTGAGGCTGGGCATGAACTCAGTAGCCCAGGCTGGCCTCAAATTCACAGCAATCCTTCTGCCTCAGCCTCCTGAGTGCTGGGATTACAGGTGTGCACCACCATGCCTTCCCATTCATTTGTTTCTTAATCCTTATTTCCTCCCTTATTCCCTTCCCTATTTGAACATTTTCTTCCTACTTCTCAATATATATCATCCATCTTGGTCTAATTTGCCCTTTGAGTTTCTCACACAAGAGAAACTATGATATGTGAGCATGTATGGCCAATTTATTTCACTTAAAATTATGTTCTCGAGGTGCATCCACTTAGCTTTGAATGTATCCTTCTTTATGGCAGGGTATATTCCATTATATATAAAAAATCACTTTCTTTATCCATTCATCCACTGATGGTCATCTGGGCTGTTCTTAAGATTTAGCTATTACAAACCGTTGTCATAAACATGGGTGTCCATATACACTGTCTGGTAGGATGATTTTTCAGCAAGATACCTACAAGGGAAATCTGGGTCAAATGAAACGTAATTTTATTTTTTGAGATGATTGTACCAATTTACAATGCCACCAACAGTGGAGAAGTGTTCTTTATCTCCCACAGCCTTGCCAGCGTTTGTGATTGATTTCTTGATATAACTGTTCTTTCTGGAGGGAGATGGAGTCTCAGTGTGGTTGTTCTTTGCATTTGTCAAGTGCCCAGTGATACTGAACAGTTTTTCATACATTTAGTTACTAGTTGTGCTTTTTCCTTTCAGAAGTATCTATTTCAAATGCCCAGGGGATGGGGTTTTTAATTTTTTGGGGGAGGGGAGTTTTGGAGTGCTTTATACATTCTAGATATTAGTGCCTTATCTAAAGAATAGCTGGTAAAAAATTTTTCCCATTCTATGGGTTGTCGCTTCACTACATGGTTAGCTTTTTTTTTTTTTTTTTTTTTTTTGCTGCGCAAAAGCTTTTTAACCTGGTATGATTCTAGCTGTTGATACTTTGTAATATTTCCTGTACAATTGGGGTTTGTTTCAAAAAGTCTTCGCCTGTGCCTGTGTGTTCCAGAGTTTTACATAATGTAGCAGATTGTTTCTGTTTTAATATTTATATCTTAAAGTATGTATTTAAATCTTTGATCCATTTCAATTTGAATTTAGTTCAAGGCGAGAGGTATGGATCTAGGTTTAACCTTTCACATGTAGAAAGCATAATTTATTAGAGGGTGCCAGGTGTGGTTGTGCACACCAGGTGTGGTTGTGCACACCTGTAATCCCAGCACTTGGGAGACTGAGCCAGGAGAATCACAGAGAGTTCCAGGCCACCCTAAACTATAGTATTCGGGTTTTTGGCAGCATAAAGAGATAGGAAAGATAAAAGAAGCTTTATTGACTCTGAAGACACAGAAAGGATGAGTGGAAGGGAGATGCTAGATCCTCTGGCCTGAGGCAAAGGAAAGCTGAGCCTTTTATGTGCTTTTGCTAGGGGTAGGGTTTGAGGGGCAGTCTTAGTTACATATAAGGAACTGATTGGGTTCAGTCCTGTATGTGTGGGAAAGGTATACAGGACTGAGTTGGGGAAGAAGGAAGAAGTGGTCATTAGGAAAATAAGCTGTTGTTTTTGGGCTTCAGCCATGTTAGATGACCACCATCGTAATTCAGCAATTCATACTAGGCCCAGAACCTTTCACATAGTGAGTTCAAGGTTACCCTGAACTACATAGTGAGACCTTGTCTTTAAACAAACAATTCTTGACCTTTTCATCAAAAGTAAGACAGCTCAGTGTGTTTGAAATTCTTTCTGCATCTTCTTTTCCACCAATCATCAGGTCTTGTTTTTGCTTGCATTTTTTGGCCTGTACCATGCTACTTATTATGATAGTAGCTTTGCACTGTAATAAATTTAAATTTATTTAAAAACAGAGCGAGTCCTAGCCCAGGTCCAGTGAGTGTGCGGAGAGCTTCCTACTACCCTACGCCAGCGGGACAAGTCCCAGCCCAGGTGCAGAGTGGGCCGGACCCTCTCCCAGCCCCTTGGGCCGCCCCCCACCACTCCGCAGTGCCTCCCCAACCCCACCCAACAAGTAGGATTTTCTGCCGAGTTCTGGGAGCCCCCAGACCCAATCCTAGCCCAGGTCCAGTGAGTATGCGGAGAGCTTCCTGCTACCCTGTGCCCGTGGGACCAGTCCTAGCCCAGGTGCAGCGTGGGCCGGACCCTCTCCCAGCCCCTTGGGCCGCCCCCCACCACTCTGCAGTGCCTCCCCACCCCGCCCGCCAAGTAGGAATTTTTGCCCCGTCCCGGAGCCCCCAGACCCAGTCCTAGCCCAGGTCCCGTGAGTATGTGCAGAGAGCTTCCTCTTCCTCCTACTTCACTTTGCCCCCTCCAGGCACAGCTCAGGCCTGGCACACATGCCTGAGGTGTAATCCTGCAGCTGCAATCCCTGCAGGGGAGAGTGTAGAGGATAGATCCAACCAGCTAGTACAGGAGAAGAACATCTCACCACACGGGCATAACAGGTTCACCCTTAAGGGCAGCAGCAGAAAGGATTGAGCACAGCAGCCACACCCAAGCCAGACGCAGCTGGATAAGTCCAAACTTTGAAGAGCTGCACCTGAACTTCAGTACGTGCGAAGGTTATAACTACAGCAAAGATTTACAACAAAGGTCAGAAGACGGTGCTACACAAAGTGACGAGAAGGAACAAAATGCAACCTCAGAAGCCAAGCCCACCCATAAGAAGTGCAGAGGTCACTAACACAGAAAAAATTGGAAATCACAGCTGAAAGCAATGAATCAGCAGCTTCTGAAATAAAGAAACAGCTGCAGAAAGATATAGAAGACCTCAGATTGGAATGAGAAAAGAAATCCTTGAATTAATAACATCTGAACTAAAGAATCAAATG